CATAACTGACACTGTGTTGTCGGTCGACAGCGTAGTGCTGTACGTGTTTACTTCTCACCATGCAAAGGTCCGAATATTGCGCTATTTCGGTCGTAGCTATTTTTATCACCGGCTTTCCCAAAAGATGAAACTGACCACACTGGACGTTGACTTCAGGTCATGTCATTATCAACTACGTAATCTTTCGTTACAATATATATATATATATATATATATATTCAGTATCGACTTGATTTTCATGTTGTTATTTGACTAACTAGCCCCTTTGTTCAATACATACTACATTGTCTTACTTATAAGTTCCTAGGTATTGTCATATTCGATATTCCAGGGGTTATGCTTACTTTCGCTCTCTAAACCCCTGGGATTTGTCATTGCAAAATCGAAGGCTCAGTGTGCAATACGTTCTGGATGAGACAAGAAGACTAGTTAAAATTGACTTGCTTTGAAGTCGGATGTCGCTCTTCTGTAATCTTAAAAAAAATGTATCAGCCTAGCGATTGGTCAGGTTGTTTGATCTGGAATCAAATTACTAGCGGCGTGCCTTCAATTTTGCTATGACATATTCCAGAGGATCATAGAGCGAACGTGAGCATAACTCCTGGAGTTTCGAGGATGTAGTGTAGCCCGCTACCGCTAAACTACGATGGCCGAAGGCGGCCAGGCACATTTGAAGCATTTATACTTCGTTTGTGTCCCATGGTACACTTTTAAACGGGCATTGGCCTATTGACCTCGCCAGCGTTTGGAATATTCATCATTCGAAAGGTTATCGCAGTAATAGGATATGAAACCAACGCTTACGCTCTGGATATTTTTAAACCCAAACATGGGCCCATTTGGGGGTGGAAGAGGCTGTGGGAGCCGTCAAGTAAATAATCAAGCAAAATAGCATAGGGTCGCGTACCGGTATATATAACAAATTTAAACGACAAATGCATATCGCTTTTAATCTCGCTATGCATATATTTCACATGATAATTAACGTATTTTTTATCTTAACAAATATTTTGTTTTTTTAATAAACAAGACGTATCCTGTATAAGCCCTCCACAGAAGAGTTACAACAGACCTCAACTTTCCACGGCGGCAACCCGTTATGTTTTAATCGGAAAATTAATAGCTCAGGGTCATTTCCTATCAGTGGCCGTTCTCGGTCATACAATAGTGTACCGAGGTACACAAACGAAGTATAAATGCTTCGTTTAGGCACCACGAAAGTGTAACGCGATACAGAAACGAAGCATTTATACTTCGTTTATGTACCACAAAAGTGTACCGTGGTACAGAAACGAAGTATAAATACTTCAAATATGTCCTGCCGCTTTCGGCTAACGGTACAGAAACGAATGATAAATGCTTCGATTGTGTATCACACAAAAGTGTACCGTGGTACACAAACGAAGTATAAATGCTTCGTTTGTGTACCACACAAAAGTGTACCGTGGTACACAAACGAAGTATAAATGCTTCGTTTGTGTACCACACAAAAGTGTACCATGGTACACAAACGAACTATAAATGCTTCAAAAGTGCCTGGCCGCCTTCGGCCATCGTACTAAACAGAGAATATAATATTCTGCGTTGAAGAGTACACAGGACAATTCGGAATTTCGAGAGAATTTCAGAACAGGACATGGAAAGCAGTGAATGATTGAAAAAATGACGATTAAGGCATGCAACTCGATAGATTACCGAAAATTCTTCCACTCTCGTTTCCTTTGTTCTGATTATCAAAGAAGTTCAATGAAAAATGTGTATTATTACCGGTCACCACGATGTCGTCTTTAACTCTTTTGTTTGGTGGCGTGTTAACGACACCGGATATTGCTACCAGACAAGCGATGATCACACGAAGTGGGCTTCTGTTGCAGGTGGGTTTTTTTTGATATTTTTCTTACTTCATGTTCTTGGGGCTTTTTGGATCAATTCCTCACATTTTCAGCAATGTCTTAAACCACAGAGAACATTCCTATATGGGCCAATATATGTATATATATAAAGTCAGACCCCAAACACATAGGGTACCTTGTGTAGTCATGTTCCACGCAGACATGCCGCCACTTCCATCTATCTTATAAAAAGCACTGGCGCATCATCGAATCTTCAGCGAAACTTAGGAAGATCTTTCCAGAGTCTCCTATACTGGCATATCGTAGACCTAAACACATTAGAGATCTTGTGGTAAGCAGCAAGCTACCTACACCTAACCCTGCTGCGGCGAAAGGCTCTTTCAATACCTGTAAAAAGAAGGTGTGCAAACTGTGTCCATACACGCGCTCCACAGATACATTTCAATGTACAATCAACGGCAAAGTGTATCACATACTACAAACATTGACATGCACATGAGTCAATGTTACCTGCAATAAATGCAATTTACAGTACGTGGGCGAGACCTGCACCTAGCTCAATGTCAGAATCAACAACCACCGCTGCTCCATCAAGCAGAACAAACCAGACTACCCTGTGGCAAGGCATTTTAATATGCCTAGCCACAGTTGGAAAGACATGCAGGTTGTTGCCATAGATCATTGCCCTACATGGGATGAAACGAAACGACGTACGAGAGAACGGTTTTGGATCACCTATCTACAAACCCGCTACCCTCGAGGTATGAACGAACGATAGGCGGTTGCCATCCGCTCGTTTTTCTTCCAGGGGGCATTTGACCTAATGATACATTACTGCACAGTTGGTCTGCTATCTCGCCTGCCTTCTGCTTCATGTCAGTGTGTGTGACCAACAGCCGTTGTCTGATTTATTTTGCAGATTTATACAGTATCTTAGCCATTCCATCTATTTATTCTTCCTGCACTCACTTATTTGATAATTAATGCATTATTCCTGCAAACCGAAAGAGGCGACTAAGTGTAGATTTTTCACATTTACCGGGCCAGATGCCCACATCCACATGTTCCACGTTTTTGATATCTCGTCCCTTCTTTCTGGTGCTTATCTCTCGTTGACTCACTTTATTTGATAGTGCATCTTGCGCAAGAATAGGTCCTCTACATCAGCGTTTCTTGTCCGCTATGCTCTCAGCTTAATTGCTGCCTTCGGCTGTCTTAAGTCGAGGGGACTATTGGTTTTATATAATAGCTATATTTTCAATTATAGTATATCAGTTCTATCTTCTTGTAATATGATGTATATGTACATGTAACTGTTCTGTTTCACTGTGTCTTGATAAAGGAGCGGATCGCTCCGAAAATTTGCCGTGTCTGAATTAATATTTGTAGTGAAACCCATCTTGAGTAAGACCACCTCAATATACAGACCCCCCGTCTATAATTACCACCAAGTGTACACCTCCAACGCTGTAGTGAATATACTAGGTGTTTTCGTTCGAACAAATTTTACTACCTATAACTAATTAATATGTATATCCATTACATACATTTGTCGTATTTTCGAACTCGTTGTAAATCATGAGAAACGACGTGTTTGTAAGTCTGGGTGAAATATTGGCCAATATATGAACGTTTCTATTGTTTTAGTAAACGCTGAAAATGTGAGTTTTGATCCAAAAAGCCTCAAGCACATGACGGCCACTGAAGTAAGAAAAATATAGAAAAAAACTCACCTTCGACTGCAGTCCACCTCGTGTGATCACCGCCTGCATGATAACAATATCCGGTGTCGTTAAAACACAGTTAATATATGTTTATTCACTGTTGTTAATAGCACATTTTGAACACCTTGGCCGACCCGGTTATCTAACGATGGAAGGAGCTATAATCGGGGCGAGGTGTTCCGAATGGTTAATTACCTTCTATGGTTTGGTCTCTCTGATGTCAGGTCTACTTTACATCTGTTTCTTCCGTCATGCTGAATTCACCCGTATATCAAGTGATTGTTTTACTTAACAAGGTGGTTGACTTTGCTTGATAATGGACTTTCAGTCCCCGAGATTGGTCGTAGACATCTAGCGGGTCTTTATTCTGGCTGGGTTTCATGAAATACTTGTTTTAAATTAAATTATCATTTGGAGCCAACATTTGTAAACTATAACGTTATACAGGTTTTTATAAACACTTTGCTGCCTTTTACATGTGTAAAAGATGTGGATTAATTAGGTTGCCTTACAATCGTCTGCTGTAGGGAATTTCCCTTTAGCTCAGCGGTAGAGCATCTGACTGGAGAGCTAAGGGTCGCGGGTTCGAGCCCCAGCGACAACACTATCTTTGTACTGAAGACTCAGCAATCAAAAATAACATCTGGGTACAAAAGTTCTTTATTGTTCTTTATTTCACAGAATCGATCACAGTAGACGCTGCCCAAATTCCATGTTGGATGAGAACAGAGTAAAAACTGAAAGATTACAGAAACTATCGTTACATTCAGGCAATATCTACATGCATGTTTACATTTGTATCCATAATTCCGGAAGTTCCGGCTCCGACTCTAAAATTAGTGTAAAACGAAACTAGAATTTATACGATACATTTCACTGCTTACATAGCTGGCATTTCGATAAATTCACCATAGAATAGCATGACACATCAGCAAATATAACCTTTACATGACAAATAACCTACCCTATAGGCCCTTGGTGACAAATCATAATAGTTCTGAGGATATTGTTCTGGTTTCTAGCAGCGTGGGTTGCCGCTTCTTTTACGCACAAGCGTTCTGGAGACGTAGAGGGAGATTCTAATAGCGGAACCAA